AGTGTGGCGAGCCTTCTCAGGATGTTCAAAGAACAGTATAGACACGTGTCAGCTGGTGGCAGGCCAGCTTAGGCCACAGGTAATCATTCACGCTGGGCTCACAGCAGCTTCTGGAATCTCAAAGCTACCTCAAGTTCTCCATTCTTGACCTTCCCCCCTGCCTTGCATGAGAAGGAAAGGCTTGATTACTCCTTCAAAGACAACTTAAGCCTAGAGAATTATGCAGCTTGAAGTTCAAAGCAAGTAGCTTATTAAAATCTCTGGCTGCTACCTCATCAGTCTGCCTTGAAGCTCAATTAAAAATAATTAAACTACTTTCTAGTCTATTTTTAGAAAAGCTTAAGTGAGAAGAGATTTCTGTTTTCCCAAGAAGAGTTAGAATAACTCATCACTTACGTTCTAGACCTAAGCAGCAGTGTTCTCCATGTGACCTTTTTCTTACAGGCAGCCCCTGTCCTTAGCATATTCTCAACATTTCTCCAGTTTTCACTAGTGATGTTGAGGAAGGCGTTCAGGAGACGTGGGCAGCATGTACCTCAGAGCAGTGTTTTTCAAAAGGTGGGTTTTGAACGATTAATCATTACTAAATCAACTTGGTGTTTATAGAAAGTATCAAAATGCATCGTACATTATGGAGATAATTAAGTATTGTTTTATAAAACTTTCTGTAATCCTGAATGTGTGTGTGTAGATATGAATATACATGCATCCCTCTGTGAACGTCCCACCTTGTTGAGAAGGCTAAGCTTTGGAAGTAAGATTAACTGGGCTGTATCACCCAGGACAGACAGGTGGAGCCAGAAGTGAGTTGGAAAGGCAGGAGAAACAAGAGGTGGAGCTTCAGGCCCCTTTGCTTTGAACTATATTTTACAGAGATCTCCATGTATGATTTTCTATGAAGAAGAAAAGCTTGAAAATCCCCTATACTGGAAAGGGTGCCTGGTGAAAAATGATCCTTCCTAAAAATGTTCTAACACTCACTCTTGCATTCCCTTGAAATTGATTTAACACCCAGGGAAAAGCTGCAGCACACAAAACACTGTCAGGAGATAAGAATTCAGCCAAAAATCAGTAATATTTATCGCGCAGATTTAGTTTGCATTTTATTCTCTTACTCTGTCAAGTTTGAGTGGGGCAGAGGTAATTATTCATCAGCAGAAGAAATTCAAATTCTGTGCAGGGTTTGAGGTGGTGAGTATTGTATGACATTGGACAAGTTACCTTTCCTGAGCCTCATTTTTTCTCATTTGTAAAACGGCTAATAATGGTCCTTACCTTCGTAGGACCATTAAAGAGGAACGCGGAGCAAAGTATTAGCACAGTATGTGGCATGTATATAAAAGTTTAATAATTGTCAGTTACTGAACTGAACAGGCAATTTTCTGGGTCTCTTTAGGACTACTGAAAATCATTGAAAAGCTACCACAATGATAATTTAACATTTTATTTTTTGCTCTTTAGGTAAAGATTTTCAAACAGTGAAACTACAAATTTTAAGTCCATTTGGTAAGTTTTGAGAAAAGTATATACCTATCTAACCCAAGTGCCTATCCAGATACAGAATGCTTCCATCATCTCAGATAGGTCCCTCAGGCTACTTCCAAGTTATTCTCAGCCTCACTCTCAACCCCAGCCCCATGAAGCACCCATTATAATCTTTTTCACCATAAATTAGTTTTGCCTGTTCTGGAACTTAATAGAAATGGAATCATACAGTATTTAGTCCTTTTGTATAAAGCTCTTTTCTTCAGTTTTATTTTTTTATGTCTCCTCACTGATTTTTAAAAAAATTTTTGTTGAAATATAGTTGATTTACAATGTTGTGTTCGTTTCAGGTATACAGCAGAGTGATATTCTCTTCCATTATAGGTTATTACAGAATACTGAGTAGAGTTCCCTGTGCTATACAGTAGGTCCTTGTTATCTATTTTATATTTAGTAGTGTGTATATTTTAATCCCAAACTCCTAATTTATCTCCCCCCTCTTCCCCTTTGATAACCATAAGTTTGTTTTCTATGTCTGTGAGTCTTTCTGTTTTGTAAATAAGTTCATTTGTATCATTTTTTTAGATTCCCCATATAAGCAGTATCGTATATTTGTCTTTGTCTGGCTTGTTTCACTTAGTATGGTAATCTCCAGGTCCATCCATGTTGCTGCAAATAGCATTATTTCGTTTTTTAATGGCTGAGTAATATTCCATTGTGTATATGTACCACATCTTCATTATCCATTCATCTGTCGATGGACATTTAGGTTGCCTCCATATCTTGGCTATTGTAAATCATGCTACAATGAACACTGAGGTGCATGTACCTTTTCGAATTATGGTTTTCTCTGGATATATGCCCAGGAGTGGGATTGCAGGATCATATGGTAGCTCTACTTTTAGTTTTTTAAGGAAACTCCATACTGTTCTCCATAGTGGCTGTATCAATTTACTTTCCCACCAGCAGTGCAAGAGGGTTCCCTTTTCTCCACACCCTCTCCAGCATTTGTTATTTGTAGACTTTTTGATGTTGGCCATTCTGACTGTTGTGAGGTAATACCTCATTGTAGTTTTGATTTGAATTTCTCTAATTAGTGATGTTGAGCATCTTTTCACATGCCTTTTGGCCATCTGTATGTCTTGTTTGGGAAAATGTCATTTTAGATCATCTGCCCAGTTTTTGATTGGGTCGTTTGGGTTTTTTTTTTTTTGATATTGAGCTGTTATGTTTGTATATTTTAGAAATTAACCCCTTGTAAGTTGCATCGTTTGCAAATACTTTCTTCCATTCTGTAGGTTGTCTTTTCGTTTTGTTTGTGGTTTCCTTTGCTGTGCGGAAGCTTTTAATTAGGTCCCATTTGTTTATTTTTGTTTGTATTTCCATTACTCTAGGAGACAGATCCAAAAAGATATTGCTGCAGTTTATGTCGAAGAAGTGCTCTGCTTATGTTTTCCTCTAGGAGTTTTATAGTATCCAGTCTTACATTTAGGTCTTTAATCCATTTTATTTTTGTGTTAGAGAATGTTCTAATTTCACTCTTCCACATGTAGCTGTCCAGTTTTCCCAGCACCACTTATCGAAGAGACTGTCTTTTCTCCATTGTATATTCTTGCCTCCTTTGTGGTAGATTAATTGACCATAAGTTGCATGGGTTTATTTCTGGGCCTTCTATCCTGGTCCATTGATCTATATTTACGTTTTTGTGCCAGTACCATACTGCTTTAATTACTGTAGCTGTAAAAACCCTTTTCTTTCAGCATAATGTTTTTCAGATTATGTTGTTGCATGTAGTTTGTTGCCTTTTGTGGCTAAATAGTATTCCACTGTGAATACAATGTTTCCCTTTGGGGCTTTTATGAATAATGTCATCAACAAGTCTGTGTGGGCATTTTCCTTCCTCTTGGGTAATACATGGGAGTAGAATTGCTGGGGTGAATGTATATCATGAGATAAGTGACCTTTGTCCAAAGCGGATGGCTCATTTTACACTCCCACCAATGATGTATGACAGTTCTGGTTGCTTCTTGTTCTTGCCAGTATTTAGAGTTGTCAGTGTTTAATTTTAGCCATTTTGATGTGTACATAGTGGTATTTCATTGTGGTTTTATTTTGTGTTTCCTTGATGATGGACAATGAGCACATTGTCACATGCTTACTGGCCATTCATGTATCTTTGTGAGGTGTCCAAATTTTTTGCCCATTTTTTTTCATTTGGTTTGTGTATGTTGTTGTTTGGGTTATTTTTTTATTATTGAGTTGTAGGAGTTTTTTATATTTTCTGGATATAAGTCCTTTGTCAGGTGTATCTTGTGAATATATTCTCCTTGAATATATTCTCTATCTGTAGATTGATTTTCATTTTCTTCATGGCATAATGATCCTGTTTTTAAAAAATTTTTGTAAGACTGGATTTAATAGAATTCACTGGTGAAATCATCTGAGCCAAGAGTTTGCTTAGGGTAGTTTTTGATTTATAGATTCAATTCCTTTGATCGGACCTGTGAAGCCTTTACATTTCATCTTGTTTCAGTTTGGGTATGTTGCATTTTTCAAAGATTTTGTATAATGCATCCAAGTTGTTTTACTGTCATAAAATTTTTCATAACATTCCTTTATCTTTTCTGTGTCATACAGGACCTGTAATGCTATATCCCCTCTTTCATTCCTGATATTGGTAATTTTTCTCTTTTTTCCCTTCATCAGTTTAGCTAGGGATTTGTCAATTTTTGTGCCTGTGTGTTTTTTCATAGAACTTTTGGCTTCTTAGATTTTTCTTTAATATTTTCTGTACTTTGGGTTTATTTTGCTCTATTTTTAGCTTAAGGTAGAAACCTTTATCAGTGATTTTCTACCTTTCATTTGTTCTAATAGAAGCATTTATAGCTCTGTTTCCTTATAAGCAAGGCTCTTAACCCTACAAATTTTGTTTTCATTATTCAGTTCAAAATATTTTCTAATTTCTCTTTTGATTTCTTCCTTATTACAAGTATGTGTGTTTAATTTCCAAATATGTAGGTTTTCTAGATATTATTAATTTCTAATACAATTTCATTGTGTATAGAGAACATATTGTGGAAATTTCAATCTGTTGACTTTTGAGACTTATTTTATGGCCCAGTATTCGGTCTGTCTTGCTAAATGTATTATGTGCACTTGCAAAGAATGTATTTTCTACAGTTACTGCTTGTAGTGTTCTATAAATGTCAACAGAAATTGACAAGCTGGCCAATATGTTCTTTTACACTTTTTGTCTAATTCTATCAATTGCTGAAAGAAAAAGTGCTAACCAACTATGATCGTAGATTTAATTCTATCAATTTTTACTTGATGTACTGTGAAGTAATGTTAGTTGCATACATATTTATGATTTTCTACTGAATTGACTGTTTATCATTATGAAATGCCCCCCTTTATTTCTGGTAACACCCCTTGTTTTGAAGTCTACTTTATCTAACATTAATATAGTACTAGGCTTTTTTATCCTTTCTGTGTTTTGTTTTGTTTTGTTTTTGCGGTACGCGGGCCTCTCAGTGTTGTGGGCTCTCCCGTTGCAGAGCACAGGCTCCGGACACGCAGGCTCAGCGGCCATGGCTCACAGGCCTAGCCGCTCCACGGCATGTGGGCTCCTCCCGGACCGGGGCACGAACCCGTGTCCCCTGCATTGGCAGGTGGACTCTCAACCACTGCGCCACCAGGGAAGCCCCTCTGTGCTTTTTAACTGACATGTTTAGTCCACTTACATTTTTAAGTCTAATTACATTTTAATGTAGTTATTGACATGACTAGATTTACATTTAACATTTTGCTATTTATTTTCTCCTTGTTCCATCTGTTTTTCTACCCCCCTCTCTACTGTCTTTTTATTGGGTTGGCCAAAAATTTCCTTTGGTTTTTAAGTAAAAAGATGCATTTTTCATTTTCACCAAGAACTTTATTGAACAACGTAGTCACCGTTTTCTTCCACTACCTTCTGCCATTTTTCAGGCAAGTTCATAATTCCATCTTCCCAAAACTTTTTATCTTTTTGAGTAAAGAACTGTTCCAGGTGCCTTTTACAGTCTTTCAGGGAATTGAAATTTCTTCCATTAAGAGAATTTTGTAAAGACCAGAGTAAATGGAAATCCGAAGGTGCAATGTCTGGTGAACACAGTGGATGAATCAGAACTTCCCAGCCAAGCTATAACACTTTTTGCCTGGTCATCAAAGAAACACACGGTCTTGCATTAATCCTGATGGAAGATTATGCATTTTCTGTTGACTAATTCTAGACACTCTTCGTTTGAGTGCTGCTTTCAGTTGGTCTAATTGGGAGCAGTACTTGGAATTAATCGCTTGGTTTTCCAGAAGGAGCTCATAATAGAGGACTCCCTTCCAATCCCACCATATACACAACATCACCTTCTTTGGATGAAGACCAGCCTTTGTTGTGGTTGGTGGTGGTTCATTTCGCTTGCCCCACGGTCTCTTCCATTCCACATTATTGTACAGTATCCACTGTTCATCGCCCTGTCACGATTTGTTTTAAAAGCGGAACGTTTTCATTATGTTTACATAGAGAATTGCATGCAGAAATACGGTCAAGAAGGTTTTTTCACTTAATTTACATGGAACCCAAACATCAAAGCGATGAACATAACCAAGCTGGTGCAAATGATTTTCAATGCCTGATTTTGGATATTTTGAGTATGTCGGCTGTCTCCACGTGGTATAATGTTGATTGTTCTCAGTGAATGTCTCAATTTGTTCACTATCAACTTCAACTGGTCTACCCAACCACGGAGCATCCTCCAGCAAGAAATCTCCAGCACGAAACTTTGCAAACCACTTTTGACGTTTGATCAGTCACAGCACATTCTCCATACTCTGCACAAACCTTTTTTTTGCATTTCAGTTGTGTTTTTACCTTTCTCAAAATAACAAGCATAATAGGCCAAAAAATGCTTTTTTTCTTCCGTCTTCTATATTAAAATGGCTACACAGAAAAGTCACCAATTTTGGTAAGTTTTTTTTACGTGTGCGCCAAGACGACAGCTGTCACAATACAGTCTAACAAAATTGTTTTGAATGAAGTTAAGGGCAGCTAAGGGCTACTAGAGCCATCTTACAGAAAGAAAAAAAAAAACTTTTTGGCCAACCCAATAGCTGTGCTTCTTTGCATCTTTTTAATGGTTACTCTAGGGATTATAATACAGCCTTAACTTTTCACAAACTATTTAGGATTAGTTTTGTACCATATCATGTGAAATATAAAAACCTTTGAACCATAAGTTTCCATATACCCCCTTGTCCTTTAGTTATACGTATTAAACCTCACATATAATGTTATAATTTTTACTTGGAACAGTTATGTGTATTTTTTTAAAATTAAACCAAGATAGTATTTTACATTTACCCACTGGTTTATATTTGTGGTCTGTGGGAGGATTGGTCCATTGTGAGCTACCCTCTATTATCAGACAACAGAGATTTTTCCTTAAGAACAAAATGATCATTGTAATCATACTCCAAAAGTTTACTTCGTTTTGTACTAATAATATTATTCAGTAAGAAGAACACTTTTCCCATTGCTAGTTCATACTTCCGCTTTCTTGCCTCTAATTTGAGCCATCTAAAACCATGTCTGTATCTGTAACTGTGTACTTGGTCTCATTTTTCTAATTGTCATGTAATTTTCTTGTGATGACATGAGCAACTCCTATACTAGGAATTAGAATAGCTCCTTTCTCAACAGAGTGAATGAGAGACTGCAAATCCACAAGCCCCAAAGACTGGGCAGGTACAAGTTTCTTTTACAAAGTTTTTTTTTGTGATCCCTCATTTTTATACCTGAATAACTTTCCCCAAAGGGATGATACATAATCTTTATTCTGAAAAGTATCTATAGATAATGTATTGATAACAGCTGGTCAGTGGTATCATTGATTGTCAAATAAAAATTCCTCAGTTATGCAGCTCTTCCTTGTTAAATCCTTGGTGCTGATACCAGACCAGCCCTTTACTTCTTTTCATACTGACATGATCTGGCTCTACACTCTGACCTCTCAAGAACAAGATATAGGGACTTGTTCTGGATGCTCTTGGGCAAGTGCAGCTGGGATACTCACTCAGTAGGCTGGGCCTCAATTTAAAGAGCTTGTTTCATCATTTTTTTTTTCTTTTAGACTATTAGAGCTGGATTATTCATCAGAGATTTGTGTTTGCTTCAGTGGCTGATATACCACACAGCCCAAGGATCAGCTCAGCTAAGACAAGGCTTTGTCATGACAGGACTGCTGCGCAGAGGTCTCAGACTTTCCTTCCACAAAGGAAGGGGTCAGCCAGCCAAGAGAGGAAGTCCTTTCCAACACAGATAGCATCACATGCCCTGCTGGCTCTTGGAACCACATACATAGAGCCGAAGCCTTGCTCTCAATTCTTCGGGAACCTGTCTGGGCCATCTTCTCGCTCGTTCCCGGCTGATGGGGCAGCAGGGGCTAGGCAGGCCTCAGGCTCCTCGTGATCATCGTAACACGTTCTGTGTTCCAGCTCATGATGCCCAGGGAACGTGCTGGCCTCCGTGCTGCCTGTGTCACAGGACCTTTCCTAATCTGGAACATCCTCGCCAAAGAAACCCCAACTCTCGGCTCATCCTACACCTATTTTTCTCTTATTTGTGCTGATGCTTCAGTTGGTTGTGCTTCCACAGTGGGCTCTGGCTCCAGAGGAAGACATGGTGGCTTTGTGAGCTGGGATGTTCCTCCGACACCTAGTAACAAAACAAACAGCTTGAATTCTCAGTTCCATAGTTCCAGAAGAAATCAGTATTTTCACCGTCAAGTTTCAAGAAGAAACCCCATATTTTCTGAGACTAGTGGGACTGTGGCATATCTGGGCAGCTGTGAAGGAAGACCATAACTGAAGAAATAAAGCAACAGTCAAGTCTGCCTTCAATGACCTTATAAAAGAAATGTTTAATTACCTGCACCATGCTGACTTATGATAAGGCAGTGAGAATTAAAGTGAGACTACATAACGAAAGGTGCTGCAATGTATTTCTAACCTGAATATTGTAAAGACCCAGTGTACTGACATCCAGCTAAGCCTGCCAGTAGCTGTTACCTTTTACACAAATTGCCTTAAGGAAACAAGTGACAGTTTGGCCACCCTTGGGCTTTTTTCCCCTTCTAGGCAGCACTACGTTGGATGTGTCCTGAGTCTGAAAAGCATAAGCCTCATTCCAAGCTGTAATCTCTTTGCAGGCACATGTGGCTTGTACCCATAGGTCTTCATATAGCTGTGTGTAGCTTCCTACCTGAGGGGAGCTTCCTATATGCGGCTGCTGAAGACATTGCCTGTCCTAGAGCTTGATTAGAACCCAGAGGCTGCTGGAAACTGGCGGCTTTACTGGTTGAAGTGGTCCGCTGCTTTGATTTGGGATCTTTAACTGGCTTAGTCCAGACCAGTGCCTCCCCGACCTGGAGAGCAGCTCCCAACTTCTGGGCCATCTCCACCATCTTGTGCCCAAGTGGGAAGGAAAAAAAAAAGAGTCACAGGTTTGACCGGCAGAGACAAGCCTCATCCCAGGTCTTCAGCAGGCAGGTGGAGATTAGCTGAAATAGTGTCTGCTTTACTAGCATTTGAGGGAAGAAACACTTACTGCAAAGAAATCATTCTCAAACAGCAGAGACCACATTGCCCTGAGTGGATGGCAAGGGAGTTCTTTAAAGGCTCTCAGACCCAACAATTCAAGTTTGGTGCATTGTTGGACTAAATTCCTGCCTTTCGTATGTGAGGAGAATGGGAGGAAGCTACAAAGAGACATAATACAACTCATTTGAGCTGAGGTCTATCAGTAATAGATATAACTCAGTAAGCCTGAATTTCCTCTTATTTTCGTCCAGGAAAGTTTCTTCTCAAGCTGTTCTTAATTGAAGGATTCATGCCACTAGGAATGTCTAAGCCAAAACAGGCATGAGCCTATATAATACTTTATATTTGGGTTATTTGGGCTTGATTCAAGTCTCGTGACAGCTTGCTTATGACTCCTAGGAGCTAAGGCTTACCTCCGGGTCAAATTCCAGAGAGCTGCTGTCCTTGAGTAGGTTGACTTTCTTCTCCATCTCCTGGTACTGGGCCAGGGCGCCCCTCTCCTCTCCCTGGTTGTACAGCAGCACAGCATAGTTCAGGTTTACCAAAGGGTTACACCTGTGCAAACAGACAGCGATTCTTATGGAGCTGGGGCTCTGCAACACATGGTCATTTAGAGATACTTCTCACTGCACAAAAATAAAACTGGCTAAGTACAGACAGCTCCACTCCACAGCAAGGTGGGGCACACACGTGTTGTGTGGATCTTTGGAGAAGAATCAGGGAATTAACTGCCCAACCAGCAGAGCAGGTACTGGGACCAAGCCTGACATCTCAGCCCTCAAAAGAGACAAAAAACAGGTCCCTACCCTGCTGCCTAACAGAGGCCAGTGGAATAAATCCCAGGAGAGTCAAGTCATCTTAAATTAAACTGAGCCCAGAGTCCCATGTGACATTCCAGCGAGCCCACAGCTATCAACAGCCCAAGCCCACTGCCAGCTCTCACTTTCTCTGGCCTCCTGACTACTAAGGGCTGGAAACGTTTTCTCAGAAAGAGTCAGCATCGGGTCCTGCTGAGCCACTTTGTGCTCAGGAGCCACGTCCTGCAGCACAGAGGCCCTCTGTGCACAGAGGCACGGGCAGCGAGCAGCTGGGCGGGCTTGGCAACGCCGGGGCCGTGGCGCCACCTCGCGGCTCTGCGGCGCCCAGCCCTCCCAGCGGTGTTCCCGACAGGGCGGCTTACTTATCCAGGCGGACTGCTTCTGCGTAGGCTCTCCTGGCATTCTCTGTGTCCTCCAGATTGGTCAGAGCCACTGCAACGAACAAAGTGAGTGCAGTGGCTGAAGAGCCCAGCGGAGAAAACACAGGCAATGTTTCAAGACGGCAGTTCATTCAGCCGCCAAACCTAACTAACTCCTGCTGTGCCCGCCCAGCTCCTGGCACCGCCATCTGCGCAGCCACTCAGCTTGGATTCCAGGTATCCTCTTGTTCAACGGTCCCCTCTCCACAGTTAGTCAGCGGCCGGGTTCCACGAATTCCATTTTTTACAGCTTCTTTGGTGACACTGCCCTGGTTTAGTCGTGTCAGGCCTTCCGTTTTGTTCCCCAAGGGCACTGTCCCGCTTGCCACAGCACAGGCTGCCAGGTATCTCGCTGACTGAGACAAATCTGACCGCGTCACTGGCCTACTCAGGAATACTCACATGCTCACTGCTCTCCAGCACCCATAACCGTACCTTTAAACTTCTGTTTAGCAACAGAACACTCTCCCTTTTTAAATCAGTATTTTCTGAAAGCCTGACCTATAACACAAACAGCAGCAGAGCTGCTCTGGAAGCCCTGCCCGCTCCACCTCCCCAGCTGTTCATCTACTTCTACCAGACACGAGAGGAGATCCAGGAACACAGCTGGGAAAAACAGAGCCTCTGGGGCCAAGTGTACAGTCCCTGTGCTGTACTCAATGGTCCTCCATACTCTGACGCCAGACCACCTCTCCTGACTCATCTCCCACCACGTTCTACAACAGTATTGCCCACTGATGGCCTGGTACCTCTTGCAGTTTCATGGCTGCATGCCTTTACTCAGGGACTTCTCAGCCATTCTGTACTACTGAATTCCAGCTTATCTTTTCACAACTCAGTGTGAAGATCACCTCTACTTTGCGAAGTTAGAATTGCTGCTTATGCCATACGGTACAGCTATTTGTTTACATTCCCGTATCCCATTATGACTGGGCTCTCTTTGTATTCAGACAGCCCCCAAGTAACCACCACTCAATTTGTTTTTGCATCCTTTCTCTTATAAATCAGAACCTCACAGTAATGACCAAAACAAACAAACAAACAAACAAAAACCCAAAAAGACACCTGAAGACTACTGTCAAAGAGAACATGGAAACTGCTTTTAGGTATACATTTCTTAACTTCAGTATAAGGAGAAGTATCCTCCATAAAGAATATTTAGTCAGTACTTTTATACTGTACAGCAACAACAACAATAGACTAATTATATAATGACAACAAAACCAGTAGTTAACGTTCACTGTGTCTAATCATGTAATCCTTTCATCAACCCTATGAGATATAGCTAGTAAGTAGTAGAGGCAGGACCCTACCTAAAGCCCAAGATCTTAACATCTGATGATAACTGGAGCTTGGCTGGATTCAATATATGAACTGTCATGGGAAAACGACTGTTAAAAGATGAACTAGAGGCAAACCTGACTGAACCTGCTGGTCTCTGAGTGAAATTCCCCTAAGTGAGAAGCAACAAGGTGCTTTGTCATCTTTTTCTTTCATATTTCTTCAAACTCTAGGACAGTAATCCAGATTCCTATGGGATCTGCAAGGGAATGGCTTCTGTGGGACATTTAACCACTGGCCTCCTATGATTCTAATTCATTTTTCCCTGAGTACAGACTGCGAAAGGGGTTCTTCACACAAATGTCTCTTACCAGCCAAGAGCATGTAGAGCTCCCCCATCTTTGGCTGGAAGTTGATGGCTGCACTGAGAAAATGGAAGGCTGATGCATACTGCTGCATAGTCAAGTGGACAAGGCCCAAATTATACAGAATCTTCCAATCGAAGGGTGCCAAGTAGTTGGCTCGTTTCAGGCAGCTGATAGCCTGGAGGAGAGAGCAGGCACTCGGTGAGAGGCTGGGGCAAGCTGACAGAACCAGTAACTGAACACAAACCAAGAAAATGAGGAGACACTCACTGCCACGTATTTCTTCTTGCCAAAGAAACACATTCCAATGTTATTCCAGAGTGGAGGACTTTCTGGAACAGCACAAGCTACAATTCTGTATTTGGTGAGGGCAACATCAAAGTCCCCATGGGTCTGCATCATGCTGCCTGCTGCCAAGATGGCCTGAAAACATGGGATGTGGAAAGTTGGTAATTCAGTCATTCCCAAAAGGCTGTTGCAGTGAAGCAGCCTTCCTGAGTGTAGACACTCAGCAGGCCCATCAGCACTGGTGGGACTGAAAAGCTTCTTCCAGGGACCTACATACTATATCCAAGCTACTGGAACAAACGCTCATGAAGAACACTCCTGCACCCCACACTGGCTCTCTTCGGCATAATACAGAAAAGTCACTGACTTTACCCAGCTTATTTCCTTCCTACTGGTGGCCAGGGAAGTCACTGTTTCAGAGTATCAGGCCCCTGTAAGTAAAAAGCACCTTCAACCTGTTCCCTACAGCCCCTACTTGGTACACCAGGTGCTCTAGACAACTCAGGTGCACCTGTCTTTGGCCACTAAGGTGCAGCTCCTTCTGCCACAGGGCAGAGGGTGAGTCAGCCTTAGGTTTCACTGGTCAAGCTTTTCATGTCTCTAAGGAAAAGGGTAAGGTGGGGTGCTAAATCAGGCTAATACGACTTCCAAGATAGGACTGAGTCTACTGTTAACAGCCAGTTTTGCTGCATCTCCCTCAGTGATACATATCCACATGATGATCATCTCCCCGAAGTCGTATCTGGACAAGAGTTGTAATCTCAGACTCATCAGGAATCAAGTCATTTCAGCAGATTTATTCCTGACAGTAGTTATAGAGGCTCTGCCAGTTTCCTAAGTAACATATAAAACTTTACCAGCACTACAGTTTTGCATTCTGCATAAGTTAACAGGCCCAATGTAACAAATGTGCTCTTCTAGAAGATAAGAAGCAGAGCACTGACACTTTACAGTATTTTCAAATGAGAGCCACGTTTATTTATAACTTTTCTAAGGAAAAAGTACTTTCTCAGATATACAGAATGCTTTCTAGGGCCAGATCACCTCTAGGAGTGGTGGGACCATCTGTGTGAAGGCTCTGGGGTTTGACAGCCTGCAGTACCTTGTAGTTGGTGGGGTCGTAAGTCAGTGCATTTCCAAGATGTTCAAATGCCTTCTGGTAAATGCCAAGCTTGGGAAAAAGCAAAAGCCAGAGAATTACATTGGGGGGAGGGTAGTTAAGGAGACTGGCCAACCACACCCTCATCAGACACACCCTGACTTTTCCAGGTTCTTCAGACAGAAAAAGAGCTACAGATACCGGATTCTTAAAAAAGGAAATTAAGATCCCCACGTTTGTTTTCCCTCCTGTTTTGTTGATTTGTCCCCTGATAAGGTCAAAGTAGCTGTTTGCCAGGAACAGCCTCTGCCACACTAGTGCTGTTCCACCCAAGGCCTCTGGGCAGGAAATGGGCTGGTTCCCCGCATCTTCCCTGGGGCCAGCCTCCCAAGCCTGGGAAGGCCCAGGGTTAAGCTCCTTTGAAAGAAAACTGAAACAGACAAAAAGGCCACCACAAAGGCAGGGCTGGAGGCAGGATCAGCTAAGAGGGGAACCTGGGGCTTCCAAGCGGTATGTGGGGCAGGGAGAAGCCCTGAGGGATCCCTGGGTCCCAGGGACTCAGACAGACACAGAACAGCCACGGGGCCAAGAGAATCCCACCCACACTCGGGAATGTGGAGGGGAGGGGAGACTTTTTTTTCTAGACAATGCTTTGCCTTCTCTCTTTTCTAGAGGACGTGTCTGGGAAGAAGGAACAACAGGAATGGCCTCTGCCCCAAAGCCCTAGCGGTACCACAGCTTCTCCTCCCACCACGAAATGCCAGCCCCTCTGACCCCAGTTATTTCTCGTATGTGTTCTTGCCTTGGTTGGATAAGAATTGTAATTGCACTAGGCTCAAACAGATTTATTTGCCTCTGATTTGAATGCTGAAAATTAAGTTAATTCCTTTAGCAGACAAAGAATATCAAATGCAGAGAGTAAAGTTCATGTCCTTCTTATGACCTTTAGTAAGTTGTGTTAAAGTAAAAATGCAGGAAAACCACAACACACACAAACCCAAAACCACTTCTAACGTCAACGCATGGATGAGCAAAGAATTCCTCTTACCTGGAGGTAGAGTAATCCTAAAGTTGTGAGAAGTTCTGTATTTTCTGGTGAGAACCTGCAACACAGAGATGCTCAGAGGGAAACAAGATGTGTATGAGAGACACTAAGATACACACATAGTAACTCACCCTTGTGCACTACCTGAGACACCACTGTGCCTCCCACTCCCCATAGGAACTCTCAAAGGGATTTGGGAATTTCCTTCCAAAGTAGGTCACCTCAACCCTAGCTACAGGGAGGATTGCTCAGCAAGAAAGAATGGGACTTGGGGGCTTCCCTGGTGGCGCAGTGGTTGAGAGTCCGCCTGCCGATGCAGGGGACACGGGTTCGTGCCCTGGTCCGGGAAGATCCCACATGCTGTGGAGCGGCTGGGCCCGTCAGCCATTGCCGCTGAGACTGCGTGTCCAGAGCCTGTGCTCCACAATGTGAGAGGCCACAACAGTGAGAGGCCCGCGTAGCGCAAAAAAAAAAGAAAAAAAAAAAAGAACAGGACTTGGAACCCAGACTCCTTTCGCAGGACCTTTTCTTAGGGCCAAAGTCCTTAGAAAGAACCTATGGAATATTTTGTGCCACTGTCTTGATTACACTGATAGAATTCAAGAATAATGCCCTGTAAACCAAGTCAGTCTAGAACACACACAGTTTTAGCCCTTTCCCTCTTGTAAGGTTTTTTTTTTTCCTATTCTCACTGCACTCAGTGCCAGCCAGCATAATTTCCCATGTAATTTAGGATCCCAAGGCCCCTAATGCTCTGCTCTCCACATTAAACAAAAAGCCATACTAAACAGCCAAACTAAAGAAGGAAGACACATACCCACTCTAGGAAAGAATCAGCTGTTGGCTTTGTGGAGTAAACACCGGCTTAAGTAAAAAGATGAGCTGCCTTTCCAATCCCTCAATGACATTTGTCTTTGTCACAAAACGAAAGCAACACTGAGCTCACATGATCTGACTACAGGATCACCAGACAGCTTCAACAGTGAAAATGACAGAAGGTGAAGAACAGTGTCTCCTCTTTCTAAGGAATGAGGTAGGGTGCTGGTTACCTGTGGGGAGGCCAGAACCACAGGGGCCAAAGCCCCAGCCCGGGGAGGCCTGAACTGGCCAGACAGAGCTTACTCAGTTCAACTGAGTATTCACCCTTCACTTTCTGCCATAAATACCCATCCTGATCACTTCCTCCCCCAAAGCAAGTAACTTCCATGATTCTGGTGGGTGTCCATCCCCCCACCAAAACATGACTACTCTCTCCAAAGCTGCGGGTCATAAACAATGGTTTCTATAATCTCAGTGAGGCTCCAAATGCTCAGCTGACCTGTTTTCTCCTTTGAGAATTTCAGTGACTTAAGTCCTTGACCAGCCACTAGAAGAATGTGTGAGCTAATGCAATTTATGTGAGCTAATAAGCTCAAAGAGCCAACTTACAGAATGCAGGGGTCAGGGATCAAAGCTTCCACCCAGCACCAGAGACTTTAACATACGCTACATGGCCTCCTTCCTACTTGTCCATATAAACTTAGCCTCTTGATGACAGAAGTCTCTTTTGTAGCTTAACAAACCAAAGGATTTTTATGTCTTTTCAGATATAAAATATGGTTGAAGAAAATTCCAAAAGTAGTGTTGTGACTAACATAACCAGAAAAGTTACTATCATGGTAGAAGACAAAGGTAATTAACAAATTAACAGAAATCTAAGTTTAGTTCAAAGTCTAATTATCAGGAGTAACAGACTTTGTGGCCTTAAACCACAGATGAGGCATTACGAGGCATCAGTTAACTGACCAAACAAATGAGACACTACAGCATTTTGCTACAGCTCTCCCACTTAAACACAAGACCCCAGACAGAAAGCATGTGTCCCTATAAAAGAAACGCAGAACACCACACTGGGAAAGCCAGTCAGTTACATTTTCAAGGGGGGTTTGGCTGACCCTAATGATATTTTTCAAAAGCACGATATTGGTCTCAGGCTAATAAGGCCAGATCTTTATTACTCAATCAGGAGATTTCTCTACCTAATATCTGAAACACAAGATCTTTTATAAAGTTTAAAACCACAATGGCAGACTGCCAGCTGACTCCAAAATCTGCTCTCTCCTTCCTCCTAAGCACATCTGCCCACCTCCCTTGCAGCTAGATGTGGCCACCTCACTAATTTCGAACCACAGAATGTCAGCAGGGA